TTTAGAAAGGTATGTTATAAACTTTCTAAAACAGTGAAAGTTTTTTTTATACATCTGTAGTAATATCTATGTTCTGTCACTGTGAACCCACAACATTTTAATTTCTTAAAAATTGCGAGATTATTGGCGTGACCCTAAGGCGTGACCTTTAATCCATCTTAAGGTGACCACATTGTTGATGAATATTTCGGCCAAAGCTACATGACATTTTAGTAATAACCTTAAGTAAATTCGTGGTCTGTTCAGGGTGAGTAGTGCTTGTCTGCTATCTGTATAGATGAGCATGTTCCTTCCAGTGATATTGTTTCTGGTGCTTTCTTTTGCTGCTATGAGAATCCCCGATAGCTCTGTTTGAACTACATTGGCACTATTGCTCACAGCCCAGTTTATGTTTAGGTTTAAGAATCTGGAGTATATTCCACACCCTGAGCCTTGTTTTGTTTTAGAACCGTAGGTGTAGATATGAATCGTACCTGCCACTTCCGGCTCTTCTATTTGTTCTGTTATAACTTTATATGGTTTATGGAAGATATATCTCGTTGAGATGGAGCCCATGCTCGCTTGAAGCAGTGGGAGCTTATCGAGCGCTTCCTGCCAAAAGCGACGTCTCGCCTCACCAGATTCTATTTCAACCGTGCGGTGTGTAAATATCAAAGGGAGTAAGACTAAGAATTACTTCCATGGATATCTGATCGGTGTTGTTTTCATGGCTCCTGTTATGTTGACATCCTATTCTTTAAATTTGTTCTAGTTTACGGATAGCTGTTAATTTTGGGGTTTTCGGTACCCAGACAACTGCATCGTATGTTAGCATAGGTTTTCTAATGATAGCCGTGTAAGTCCTTCCGACGACTCTGGGGGAGAAACTCCAGGTGCGCCCCACTGTTCGGCGGCATTGTTCATAAGCATTGTATGTTCTTTTGACTGTTTTCTAAATGCGAGTTCCATATTAACTTGCTCTCAAAGGTGACACCTAGGTACTTCGCCTCTGTTGCAAAGTTCCCAGACAGCACACCAAATCCTTTGGATATCTACTGAACATCCCAATATCCACTGAATGTCCAGTCCATGGTGGATATCTATTTTATATCCATGAAATGTAATTTATAGACATGCAAATGTCCATAAATAATTGTAATTATATAGCAAATTATTAAAAAATTACGCCATTGTACTCGCCATTGTGGCTAATAGTACCGTTGAGATATTTAAAATTAATTTTTTTAAGGTGTATTCAATATCCCATGGACATCCACTATAAATATAAATATATCAAAGTATAAGCGCGGACGCAAACCATCGTGGATATCTACTAGATGTAATTTTTGATTTTGCTTCCTAAGTATAGATGGCGATACCACTTTCGTATCTACTCATGCTTAACCCGCCGTAATTGAGTTCGATCGACATTGTTTCACAAACAGACTTTATTAGAGACTGAAGTCGAGAAGTTCCATTTATTGCTGAAGATTCCTAATAAGGATGATTTTCTCCTTAGTAGGCAAAATCAAAGGCAGATTGTCGGGAATATTTTTTTCCTCTATTTTCTTTCGACGTTATTCAATAACTATTGGTTACTTATGAACCTCTACTAAAAATAATTATAAAATATTTATCTGAATTTCTATATCCTGGGATATAGACGGACATTTGGTTGGATATTCTATGGATATATCTGGGATTTCTTGTATTGTCTGGAGATACTCATTAGATATTTTGCTGAATATTCATAGGATATCTTCTATATTCTGGATATAGACGGACATTTGGATATCCATATTAGTTCCACGGAATATTTCTGATATCCTGTGGATATATTGGATATCCACAAAATATATTCTGTGGATATCTCTGGGATTTGGTGTGTTGTCTGGGTTTAGTTTTGTGTTTAGGAGTTCTGGAGGTTGTAATTCCATTTTCATCCTTTTCCTTGTATCTTCTTAGGATTGATAGACAGCGAATGGTCCTTGCACCACTCTTCTATAGTTTTGAGAGCTACTTGCATTCGTTCGCAGAATGACCAGGTCAACTGCATATGCTATTGTGTAGTGATTGTCATTATTGAGGCGGCTGAGGAGGGTGTCGAGGACCATGTTCCACAGTAGAGATGATAACAGCTCTCGCTTTATCCCTTCGCAACTAAGCTTCTTATATTCACATCTTCTATACCATATAGTTTTATCAAAAGCACCTTCTATGTCTATGAAAACACCCAAGGCGAACTCCTTATTATCCAGGGATTTCTCTATCCGGCCAGCAATTATATGAAGGGCTGAATCAGTAGTTGTAATCACCGCACCAAACGATTTGAGACTAATTGGTCGGTATGTTTTCCGGGACAGTGTAATCCATCCTTTCAGGTTTGGGTATGAATACCACTTTTTTGGGGATATACCTCAGAGCCAACGAGGATCTGAATATACCCATCAGGTGCAGTGTGAGTTCTTCCAGACCTCACTGAAGTAGGGCTGGATAGATACCGACAGGGCCTGGCGATTTAAATGAAGAGAAGCTGTATATTGCCAATCTAATTTTTTCATCGTCTACAATGTGTTTGGCAGTTTGCCAATGATAGACAGAAAGGTTGTATTCTTCCTCTGCCCAGTCAGCCCCGTCTGTAATGACCGAGTCAGGGAAGTGTGATGACAGCAGAATGCTTCGATTTCTTCGCAGTAGGATCTCCATGTATCTATCTGTTTTTTTGTCTGATGATTTTTTTTGTATTTTCTGAGGTGAGATTTGTAAGTATCCCGGTCCTCTTTGAGTTTTGTGGTTCTTGCCTTATTAAAGGATTTCCTAGCCATCTTTCTGAGGTGATCCAACTCGTGACACCACCTTGCGGTAGTCGTATGATCGTGTTGGACCAGCTTCAGAGAACAGGGTTTCTTATAGGCATTGTTTATTGTGCTTTGGATAGTGTTCGAGTACTTCTCCAAAGCATTGTTATTGTTTGGTGTTTCGGCCTCCATCTCTCTCAGAGCCTCTGGGAGAAGTTGGACATAGGTTGCCCTGTCCGTCTTCCTAGGGTTCCGAGATAGCGTGGAGGTTGGCAACATCAAGTTTGTTTTGAATGTTAACCAGCGGTGGACTAACATCGAAATGTTATCAGACACTTGTTAGTTTAGAATTGATTTATAGGTACCAGTTGTGGATGAAGTGATATATATTAGTGTTTGACTGCGAGAGTTTAAAAATGTTGGTATACTACCTTTATTTAAAATAAAAAGATTTTTGGTAATTATACAATCATAAAGTGACCTTACCTCTAGAGTTGTTATCCTTACTGCCCCAACTAAAGTGATGAGCGTTTAAGTCGCATTCTATTACCAGCTCAAACTTCTGTTCCAGGTAGTATTTAATCAGATCCTCCATCTCTTTACTGGGTGGTGGCGTGGTTGCGTCGGAGGGGAGGTATAGAGATGCCCTAAGCCTAATTCGCGGAAAACATTAGCAACTTGCCACGTTTAAACTGCTTAAAGCCCACTATTGCTCTCTTATACTCTCGTTCCTTAATTGATAAATATTTACGTAAATTAAGGTCATATGAATATAAGATCCGTCTTAAAAAAAAAGCCCGCTGCTTCATAAGGAAGTGGAACAAGAACAAACTCATTCCGCAGCTCAAATTGGAAAATTGTTTATCGACAGATATACGTACCTCTTTGGGACATTCGGCTGCTTCATACGAATCTTCCTTTTCCACGTCATTTGTAATAAACAAGTATAAAAAATGTCATTGGGTCACGAGAGAATGGCAGGTCTACTGTTTCTTGCATTTGAAAAGAAGGAAACGGAGAAAATGGATATCAGGCATTCTGACTGGTCATTGCCAAGTATGGAAGCATTTCCATTATATGCGGCTGTCAGAATCCACACTCTGCGAACGGTGCGAACAAGAAGATAAGACCATCGAGCATACCTCTACGAATGTAGAAAATTTCATAATATGCCAAATCGAAGGCTTTACTAAATATTTTTATTGTGTTCCGTTTTTTCTTTTACTTTTATCGATTTGTAAAGTTCATTTCAAAATAAAACGCTAAAAAAAGCTTATTTTGCAAGTAATTTTTTGGAAAAATAATTTTTGACCCCCTCTTCAAGTACGTCTCCGACTACCCCTTACACTCGATCCACATAACATTGTGCCCTATTTAAAATTTCGGATGCATTACTTAAAAATTCATTCTGGCTACGGCCCTGCCTTAGCTAGTGTTCTAGACTTTAATCAACCGTGATTATTTATTTATTTGTTTATTTATTTATTTATTTATTTATTTATTTATTTATTTGTTTGTTTGTTTGTTTGTTTGTTTGTTTGTTTGTTTGTTTTATTTATTTATTTATTTATTTATTTATTTATTTATTTATTTATTTATTTATTTATTTATTTATTTATTTATTTATTTATTTATTTATTTATTTATTTATTTATTTATTTATTTATTTATTTATTTATTTATTTATTTATTTATTTATTTATTTATTTATTTATTTATTTATTTATTTATTTATTTATTTATTTATTTATTTATTTATTTATTTATTTATTTATTTATTTATTTATTTATTTATTTATTTATTTATTTATTTATTTATTTATTTATTTATTTATTTATTTATTTATTTATTTATTTATTTATTTATTCATTATATTTGCTCCTGATTCTGCTAGCAAAGAAGCCTAGGATCTCCAAAAACAGTGGCCTTTAAGTTGCATTGGGTTGCTCCATTCGGTAACTCTCGTTACAATCTTCCCTACTTACAAAATGCCACTTAGCACCTTATGCTCGAAGCTTAGCACTTATATCATAAATAGTTATTATTACTGGTTCAAAGAATTGTTTGATTAAATTTTGGTTACAATGTCAGAAACAAAATATGTACAAATCTAAAGTAGCATATAAAAGCACAATCATGTTTCCAAACTGACTAAAAGTTTAATTTTTGAATTGGATGGTACGTATAACAAAAAAAATCTTAAAAAATTGTTTTACTGTAATTAGGATTAATCATTATACAAGAATGCTTTTTAAATATTTAGATAATTATTGTGCCTTACATATACAGCAATGTAATCACCAGTATTTTTCACTTCTTGATAACTATACAAATCCCATTCGCAACCACCAAAATCAGGACTGAATGGTTTTGGATCTGTATGTTTCCAGTTTTCTTTTCCTGGTCCAATTATAAACACCACATTTCCTCTGTAGTTTTTAATATATTTTTGAAATGCATCTCTGTCGTTAAAGTAGCAGAAAAGTATTGCATATTTTGAATCTAAACACTCTTCATTAATGTTTAGAACATAATTTAATTTTATAAATTTTGGATTAGAATATTTACTTTCCCACCATTCTTGATTTACTTCATATCCTAGTACTGGGAGACCTGTAAAATATGAGAGCTATTAGTAAATTCATAGATAATAATGTATTTTGAAATATATTTATTTATTTGACATAATCACAAATTAACTAAAAAAGAACAAACATTATAAAGTTTGTTCTAACATATTTGCGTCAGTAGTGCGAGTTCGTTGATGCGACATTTAAAATCACCCATATTATATAAGACTTTTTGTTCGACCTTCGGACTCCCTCTTGCTTTCACCTTAATCCATTTGATCACTGCAGAGTGTGGCTTACCGTTTGATGGCCTTACTGCTTTCTCATTCACCCATTCATCCTTCGTCTTTTTTTCCTGGGCTCGTTTGACTTTGTCTCCGACAACACTGAAGCCTAATGGCTTGTTGTATTTGACCCATATTAATTCATAGTACCCACTTTGTTACCTTAGTCCCTTGTACAAGTTTGTGCAAGTCCTCGATATTGTCTTTTACGATCCAATGACTCGCAGTTGCACAGTTTGGGTTTGAATCTTTTTGGTTCCTTGTGACAGAGTCGACACAATATTGACATCTACATTATCTATTTTGTTCAGGTGTCCCTTTACTGGGTCTTGTGTTGTGTTATTGTTTTCAACTGGTTCCTATTCATGGAGAGTAGTTCTCATGTTCTTTTTGAACATGGTCTTCCTATAAAGTTCTTCCCATGTGCTTATTTTGGGACATTCTCCCAATAGTTGTGTTTTCTCCGAACCCAGTCATTTATGAAACCTCGAACTGTACTTTTTGGTACATCAAGGTTTATATCTGGTTCCGGTATTTTTTCTGACCCTTTGCTAGTTCGTCAGCCTTCTAATTGCCCTTGAGCCCTTGAGATGACCTGTTACCCTGGCTAGTTTTACTCTTTTCGGGTCTGCCAGTGTTCTTCGATGTATTAAATTTCTTAAATTAAAGCTTTTTATTATTTGGACCTAACGAAAAGAATAGTCGTATATTAAATTTAGAATTTTCTCGGAATTTTTAAGGTAGTAATAACTATACGGGAATTTCAAATTATTTGTTCAGCTTGGAGAATACTTTTAATTCTACTTTTAGAAGGTTTTAATGTTTTCAGTTTACCTTTTTAGGAATAATGTAACAGGATTAATAATTAAAAGTTTTATTATTTTTTCAATTTTTCAAACCAAGGAATACCACAGAAGCTTTTGTAAATGGGTTCATTAACAGACCGGTCGATATCTAAAGCACTGTTGCTCTCGCGCACATTCCTTTTATATTGCAACGACCTATTTCCAGCCAATTTTAACCTAATCCCTAGCTTTGTAGATTAAAACTTGCATGTAAATATCCAAACCAATATTTCTCAGTAATATCAACACCAGCTTAAAAGGTCCATTTCAAATTCCAGAAACAGTGAGACTAGGACTTGTAGACTAGGCAACGAGTCGCCACTGAGACATGTTTTATATAATACCGTGTTAGAGTGCATTGTTAAAAGATTTAGTTAATTTTCGTCTTATAATATGGAAGGATATAATAGTGAGATAAAAGTTATGAAACATATTTGAAAAGTAAAAAAACAAGATGAGCACCCAAAGGAACTTCGTGAAATTTGTAAATGTGCATTCCAAAAATTTTTGTAATTGCTTATTTAACTTTGCTTATATTGCGAACTCAGCATTTATTTAGGAGATTAGGCGAATTCGGTATATGAGTCTAAAATAGGTATACAGCACAATTTATAGGGTGGTTTTGGGTTCTGAAATTAGGAAACAGTACATCTTATTTTTTTTTATGAGAATGCAATTATTTTAATTGTTTTTAATTATATTTTTTGATCGATTAGGGAGGGGGGTTGCCTCCCTAAACCTCCCGTGGTTACGCACCTGAGCGTAGTGACAACTAAGCTACAAATAGCCTAAATCCACTAATATTATTAATATTTATTTATTCATACTAAAAAAATCACCAAATTAACGTAATGAACTGAATGAAAAATTTAAAAACGGAAAGAAATTGCTGACGAATATTGAAAAAATGTTAAAAGAGTAATCACTATAAAAAAATGGTAATAAACTAGAAAGTGTTAAGAAATAATATTGGAAAAACAAACTCGCCGTAATCTCTTATCCACTAGGGAATAAACTACAAATTACTAGTAATTTACGTTACAAACCGGAAAGTAGTATTTTACAGGTCGAGACAAAAGCAGATACCAAAGCGAGCCGTAGGCGAGACCTGGAAGCTTGGCGAGACCTGCTTAACACTAATTTTCGGTGGCGTGACTATGAAGACTAGATATAAGGAGGCGAATCGGCCTTGGTCAAATTTCAAATTTCCGTCCCTATTTTTATGGAGTTCCAAAAAACTACTGTAGTTGGCGGGTCGCAAAATAACGACGTCTATTTTCTATGCAAGTCAATGGGAATTAAAGTGATTTTTGTAAAATTTAGTGAAAAGAATAAAAATAAGCTGAAATAAAGAACCTGACTACAAGTAGCAATGAGTAACAAAAAACGGCAAAGAAGGATTTACTTCGTTGCGGGTTGAAAAACGGATATAAATCCAATATAAAATTGAAGAAATCACAAGGAGATAAAAATCCAAGTCTTTTTAAAGCTCCTAGTGTAAGTAAAATAATGTATTTATTTCTAAATAATATATATTTATTGTAAAATAGTCCAACCCGTATCTTATCGTATCATTTAATTACAAAATTCTATAATAAAAAATAATAAAGTCATAAATCCTGACTTACAAACAACAATAATTACACATTAAAAACTTACTAGAAGAGAAAATTTGCTTTTTTTATGTTTTTTGATGTTAGATGAAGAGTTACTACTGTTATTTTTCCTTATTGAACTCCAATTTAGTCATTGCAAATATTTTTTTTAGGATCCTAAACGTTTAGAACAATGGCAGCATGTGATTCCTAGGGTTAATAAAGTACTGTCTAGTTATGATTCTGTTTGCGAGCTACACTTTTTAGAAGATGATATTTTAAAATTTGATGAGACTATTTTAACTAATAGTACTGTTAGCAAAATAAAATACAGCTGAAATTAAAGGATGAGGTAATACCATGTACATTCCCAAATCTCCCTTTATACTTGTATTACAACAATAAAAAATCTGTTAACTGTGTTGCCACAAAATTGTACTTCTCAAATTTCAGCAATTAAGAAACCTTTTCGAATTTGGTCATACATACCAAAATTGTATTTTATGTAGATAAAATTAAATAATTTATCAATTAAAACATGCAAGACGTATTTAGAAATAAATACAACAGTACGTTCTGTGCTTTATTTAGCTGTAAACAAGTTTATTTTTATTATTTTGACAAAATTATGTATAATTCCCATAAGAAGCCATGTATTTTGAACTACGTAAACCGTACCAGCGCCCATGCGGTTAATTTTAAAAATTCAATTGACGTGTGATTTTTGGGACCGTATTTTGAGCATGTCGATTCGCCTCCTTACCTCTAGTCTTCATAGGCGTGACGTACAATATTTTTTTTAAGACTGACACTTCGATGTAAACTCAATTATTTATTTTAGTTAATAAAGTGATTAACAAATACTAAAACTAGATAATGGATACAACTGCATAAACTAACCAAATACATTATTTTTGAATATTTATGTTAAATGTACATTTTTACTGCTTCCAAAATTTCTTCAGGAATTTCATTTTCTATGACAGATAATTCAAAATCTGAATCCATATTTTTACTTTCCTATCTGTATACAGATATAAGGAAAGTATAGGAATCATGATTTTTTTCGACCTCGAGTTTTCGACGGATTTTTACGTTTTGAGGTCCCCTGAATCCGTTTTGACTATTTTCGCGATGATGTCTGTCTGTGTGTGTGTGTGTGTGTGTGTGTGTGTGTGTGTGTGTGTGTGTGTGTGTGTGTGTGTGTGTGTGTGTGTGTGTGTGTGTGTGTGTGTGTGTGTGTGTGTGTGTGTGTGTGTGTGTGTGTGTGTGTGTGTGTGTGTGTGTGTGTGTGTGTGTGTGTGTGTGTGTGTGTGTGTGTGTGTGTGTGTGTGTGTGTGTGTGTGTGTGTGTGTGTGTGTGTGTGTGTGTGTGTGTGTGTGTGTGTGTGTGTGTGTGTGTGTGTGTGTGTGTGTGTGTGTGTGTGTGTGTGTGTGTGTGTGTGTGTGTGTGTGTGTGTGTGTGTGTGTGTGTGTGTGTGTGTGTGTGTGTGTGTGTGTGTGTGTGTGTGTGTGTGTGTGTGTGTGTGTGTGTGTGTGTGTGTGTGTGTGTGTGTGTGTGTGTGTGTGTGTGTGTGTGTGTGTGTGTGTGTGTGTGTGTGTGTGTGTGTGTGTGTGTGTGTGTGTGTGTGTGTGTGTGTGTGTGTGTGTGTGTGTGTGTGTGTGTGTGTGTGTGTGTGTGTGTGTGTGTGTGTGTGTGTGTGTGTGTGTGTGTGTGTGTGTGTGTGTGTGTGTGTGTGTGTGTGTGTGTGTGTGTGTGTGTGTGTGTGTGTGTGTGTGTGTGTGTGTGTGTGTGTGTGTGTGTGTGTGTGTGTGTGTGTGTGTGTGTGTGTGTGTGTGTGTGTGTGTGTGTGTGTGTGTGTGTGTGTGTGTGTGTGTGTGTGTGTGTGTGTGTGTGTGTGTGTGTGTGTGTGTGTGTGTGTGTGTGTGTGTGTGTGTGTGTGTGTGTGTGTGTGTGTGTGTGTGTGTGTGTGTGTGTGTGTGTGTGTGTGTGTGTGTGTGTGTGTGTGTGTGTGTGTGTGTGTGTGTGTGTGTGTGTGTGTGTGTGTGTGTGTGTGTGTGTGTGTGTGTGTGTGTGTGTGTGTGTGTGTGTGTGTGTGTGTGTGTGTGTGTGTGTGTGTGTGTGTGTGTGTGTGTGTGTGTGTGTGTGTGTGTGTGTGTGTGTGTGTGTGTGTGTGTGTGTGTGTGTGTGTGTGTGTGTGTGTGTGTGTGTGTGTGTGTGTGTGTGTGTGTGTGTGTGTGTGTGTGTGTGTGTGTGTGTGTGTGTGTGTGTGTGTGTGTGTGTGTGTGTGTGTGTGTGTGTGTGTGTGTGTGTGTGTGT